CCACTCACCTTGGCCTCCCAAAGTGCTGGGATTATAGGCTGAGCCACCGAGCTCAGCCGACAATTAGGCTTTTTGCCCTGAGCCACTGGCAGGATGGAGTAGTCATTAACTATGACAGAACGCTAGGGAAGGAGGAGATTTGGGGGAAGATGGGAAGCTCGGGTGTGGACATGTCCACTCTGGAGTTCATGGGGGAGGCCTGGGCTGGAGCCATTAGTTTAGTGATGAAGTATCACCCTGCTGTCATTAGGGAGTGAAGTCCCTGAGAACTGAGCCCCAGGGCATGCCAGTGTTTAAAAGTCTGGGCAAAGCCGGGCTCGGTGGCTCAGCCACTGCACTCCAGTCTGGGTGACCGAGTGAGACTCCAACTCAAAAAAAAAAAAAAAAAAAAAAGTCTGGGCAGGAAAAAGTGACCAGAGAGGGAGAAGGAGAATCCAGAGAGCTTCTAGAGAAAGCGAATAAATTCTGTCAAGCCTCGATGGACCAGATAAGGTGAAGACTAGACTCTACCTTTGGATTTAGCAAAGTGATGGTTGGAGACCTCGGTAAGAGGTGAGGGTGAAGGTCTAATTGGAACAGGTTCAGAAGAGAATGGAGAGGAACCCTGGTGGTATCATGGGCAGCCAGAGGAGCCCACCTGAGTCTGCAGTCATGCCCAGTCTTGAGTTTTCTCTCCAGCATGCTCAGCTGTGCAGATGCAGATGAGTGGGTGGGGAGCTGGGTAGGCGCCTCTGTGGAGGTGCTGTCTGAGCTGAGACAAGGAGTGGAAAGGCTGGAGGATATATATTTCAGGCAGAAGGAATCGTAACTGCAGATGTCCTGAGGTAGGAGGCAGCTTGATGTCCCAAGGAAGAGAAAGAAGCTGATGTGGCTGGATCAGAGTGAGCGACAGCAATTGTTCTGAGATGGCATCTGAGAGGCAGGCCAGAGCCAGGCCACATGAGCCTTCCAGGGTATAGTAGATACTTCCGATTTTTTCAAGTGTGATAGGATGTCTGGAAGGTGTTAAGCCTGGAGGGGCTTCATCGTTTGGGTTTTTTGGTTTTTTGTTTTGAGACAAGGCTGGAGTGCAGTGGCACAATCATAGCTCACTTCTTCCCAAAGATCTAGGATGACAAACGTGTGCCACCATGCTTGGCTAATTTTTTTGGTAGAGATGAGGTCTTGCTATTTTGCCCAGGCTTGTCTTGAATTCCTGGCCTCAAGCAATTCTCCTGTCTCAGCCTCCCAAAGTGCTGGGGTTACAGGCGTGAGCCACTGTGCCCAGCTAAATTTAGGTTTTTTTTAAATACCACCTGGGCCAGGTGCAGTGGCTCACGCCTGTAATCCCAGCACTTGGGGAAGCTGAGGCAGGAGGACTGCTTGAGCCTAGGAGTCCGAACCAGCCCGGGCAACATAACGAGACCGTGTCTCTACACAAAATCAAGAAATTAGCTGGGCGTGGTGGCATACACCACATACATGGTAGTCTGCCATCCCAGCTACTCAGGAGGCTGAAGCCGAAGGATCACCTAAGCCCAGGAGGTTGAGGCTGCAGTGAGCCATGATCGTGCTACCACACTCCAGCCTGGGTGACAAAATGAGACTCTGACTCGAAAAAACCCCAAAGATCGCTTGGTGATATGCCAAAGGGAACAGAATGTCCCTGGCAGCCTTGGGAGGGCAGATCTGGAATAAGGTGTTTTCTGAGAGGTGGTGAGGCAGGCTGAGTCCATCTTCAGCCCTTGGGGACTTGGGGGTGGGTCTGGGCTAGAGCCCAAGGGGGGGCAGATGTGTCAAATGACCCCGGCCCCTGCTCTGGGTATAGGTGGAAGGCCCCAGAGCACCCCCAAGCTGGTCTCCCCTCTCGCACCACAGGCCTGGGCATGTGCTTCAGCTTCCAGCCGTGCATCACCGTGCTGGGCTTTTACTTCGTCCGCCGGCGAGCCCTGGCCAATGCGCTGGCCTCAGTGGGCGTCTCCCTGGGCATCACGCTCTGGCCACTGCTCTCTCGCTGCCTCCTGGAGGACCTGGGCTGGAGGGGTGCCTTCCTTGTCTTTGGCGGGGTCATTCTGCACTGCTGCGTCTGCGGGGCCATCCTGAGGCCTGTGGCCTCCCATGTGGCCCCTGAGACCAGAGAGGGTCCCCCTCCAGCGCCCAAGACCCCTGCGCTTGGCTGCCTGGCCATGTGTGGCCGGACCCTGCGGCGCCACCTGGCCTTCGACGTCCTGTGGCACAACACACATTACCGCGTGTTCACGCTGGGCGTGATGTGGATGATCCTGGGTTTCCCGCTGCCGCACGTCTTCCTGGTGCCGTACGCCATGCGGCACGGGGTAGGCGAACCACAGGCGGCCCTGCTCATCTCCATCATCGGCCTCAGCAACATCATCTTGCGGCCCATGGCCGGGCTGCTAGCACTCCAGCGGGGCTTTGCCAGCCACCGCAAGTACCTGTTCGCCCTGTCGGTCCTGCTCAACGGGCTCACCAACCTGGTGTGCGCGGCGTCGGCCGACTTCTGGGTGCTGGTGGGTTACTGCCTGGTGTACAGCGTCTCCATGAGCGGCATCGGCGCCCTCGTCTTCCAGGTCCTCATGGACATCGTCCCCATGGACCGGTTCCCCAGCGCCCTGGGCCTCTTCACCATCCTGGATGGCGCTGCCATCCTCATCTCCCCACCTCTGGCCGGTGAGACCCTGGGAGGGAGGGCAGCCGTGTGTGCCCAGGTGTGGCTTAGGTGGGCAGAAGGGGAGCCGGGGGGGGGCACAGGGGAACAGTCTGGGGCCCAGTTCCGCCTCTCTAGGGACTTGTGCTACAGCCAGTTCCCCAGATGGCACTCGGGTATGAACACAAGTTTGCATACCAGACCTGCCTGAGCCCTTTGTCTTCCCTCCATAGGAATACCTCCATTTTCCTATCAGTCAAGTGGGACTAGATGGAATCTGCCTATAGGCTTGTAAGGATTCTGAGCTACACAGTTAAGGGCTTAGTAGAGACCCGGTGTGTGGTCAGCACTCTGCATGTGTTTGCTGTTGTTAACACCCCAGTTCTGCTTTCTGCCTGTGAGGCCTGGGCAAGTCGTTTTCCTTCTCTGGCCACAGTGCCATTTCAAAATGCAAAACAGAACACCTGTCCTAACCATCTATTCACCCATGCCTGTTACTGGGTGCTCATGGCTGGATACAAAGGTCCCCACCCCGCTGGACGTGGTGACTCACACCTGTAATCCCAGCACTTTGGGAGGCGGAGGCAAGAAGATTGCCTGAGCCCAGGGGTTCAAGACCAGCCTGGGCAACCTGGTGAGACCGCATCTCTACTATAAGTCAAAAAATTAGCTGGGTATGGTGGTGTGCACCTGTGGTTCCAGCTACTTGGAAGGCTGAGGCGCAAGGATCACCTGAGCCCAGCAGGGTGAGGCAGCGATGGCCGTGAGCATGCCACTGCACTCCAGACCGAGTGACAGAGTGAGAGTCCAACTCAAAACCAAAACAAAAACAAAGGTCCCCACCCTTACCTTCTGGTGGAGGAGTCAGGAATTAAAGCAAAGAGACGCATCTGTGACCACAATGATGATTTATGCTGGGAGGGAAACGAGCAGAATATGGAAGTAGAGACCCACATGAGAGGCAGCTAAGAACAAATGAGGGGAGGGTTGTAAAGCCCTCAGTGCTGGGGAGCAGCGGTTATGAGAGCGGGACTCAGTAGGTTGACTCCAGCCTGATGGGGACTCTTCCTCCCAGTGTGGTGTTGGAAGTCCCAGTTTCCAAGGGCGTTCTCCAGCAGGAGGTCTGAGTAGGACCTGGGGGGTGGCTGAGCAAATATCCCAGGCTTCACTGCCTCCCTGCCGCCAAGGCCAAAGTTGTGCCCTTAAGTTCTCTTCCTGCCGAGGACTCATCCTTTCCAGATTTAGTGTTTCCTCCCCTCCCTTCCCTCAACAAATACCTGTCGAGGGCCTATGGGGTGCCAACCACAATTCCTAGTAGAGCAGAGACAAAAATCAAATCTCTGCTCTCGGGGAGTACACAGTTTAGTTGCAGGGAGGCCTGGTAGCCCTGGGCAGTGGACAAACTTGCTCTCTGTTCCCCAGGGTTCCTCCTGGATGCCACCGACAACTTCAGCTACGTTTTCTACATGTCAAGCTTCTTCCTCATCTCGGCCGCCCTCTTCATGGGCGGCAGCTTCTATGCCCTGGAGAAGAAGGAGAGGCAAGGTAGGCAGGCCAAGGAGGAAGAAGCCATCAAGCAGGCTGCCTTGGAGCAGTGTCTTACTTTGGAAGGCAGAGACGTTTCTGGGAAGCAACTGTGCCCTGAGATCATGTATGTGACCAGCGTCTGAGCCCTAGGGGTCATGTGTGTGATCAGCATTTTTCTCAGCCTGGGAATGCAAGCCTTAGCTGCTTCATCTGGGGCATCCTGGAGCCCAGCCTTGGAAGCCTGGGTCAAAGGCTGTTCAGGTTCTGCGAGTTGGGACTCAGTCGGGAGCTGCGATCTTGGAGGCTGGCCTCTGAAGGCTCAGGGTTCCTTCCCAACCAGCAGTATCCAGGAGCAGGCCCTCCTGACTTTCCTCCTTGGGCACCAGTGTACCTGTGGCTCAGGAAGGCAGGTCTGAGCTCTTCTCAGGTCTGTCACAGCCGGCTCAGCTCAGCCAGCTGCTCTATGCTGCTCCTACAACTCAACACACTGCACCTTCATATGCAGCCTGGACGCCTCTGGCATCATTTTTCTTTGTCTGTTTCTGGCCTCCTCCAGACAGTTCTGAAGAGCTCAGCTTCCTCCTCCTCCAGGGCCCTCCTGCCTCCCCTCTTTCCAAATAGTCCAGCCTTTCCCTTTAGGGCAGCCAAGGCTTGTGGTGCAGCTGCCCCTGTACAGGTCACTGTGACTCACGCTGACTGAGAGAAGTGGCAGTGGAGAGTCAGGCTGAGGAGTTGGCCTAGAGGCAGGATTGGGACAGATGAAATGTCATGCGGAGGGCCCATTCTGGTGCCTGCACAGAGAGCAGGAGGAGAGGCCCTGGCTTGGGTCCGAAAATTGGTAACGTCTGAGGGGTCCCCTGCAATCTCAGCAGGGCCTGCTCTAGGGTCTTTCCCCCTCCTTTGCCCACCCTGTCTCTTTGGTGGGGAAGATTAGTGCTGGATCAGGGGGAGCCAGACATTTGATGGACCGGGGAGGGAAGGCTCCCTAGGCAGCCTGAGGACTGCTATGAAAATGAGGCTGCCAGCCGGGCTCAGTGGCTCAGCCTGTAATCCCGCACCTTGGGAGGCTGAGGTGAGTGGATTGCCTGAGCCCACGGGCTCGAGACCCGCCTGGGCAACTTGGTGAGACCTCATCTCTACAATAAATAAAAAAATAAGCCGGGTGTGGTAGTGCACGCCTGTAGTTCCAGCTACTTGGAAGGCTGAGGCCGAAGGATCGCCGGAGCCTAGCAGGTCGAGGTTGCGGTGGCGAAGCGGCCGCTACACTCCAGTCTGGGCGACAGAGTGAGACTCCAACTCAAAAAAAAACAAAAGTAAAAAATGAGGCTGTTTGGGAGCCTTTGCAACGGAAGCCCTTCCGCTCCCCTCCTGTTCTCCTGAGGCCCTTCTCCCTGCTGTGATAGGGTGGTCAACCCTGGGTAAGTAGCTGGCTGAGCCAGCTGCCAGTCCACCCATGCTCCCTGTTGGCCTGTGCCTGTTGCCCGGAGGTCAGACCTCCCCACACATATATTTTGTGGGTGCCCTTCCCTGAAGTCATCACCCAAGAGCTGGCTGTCGTCGGCCCAGGCTTGTCCTAGCAGGGTACTGAGAGAATGGGAAAACAGAGTGTGTTTGAATTACACACAAAAATGTTCCCTGCAGCAGGTCATAAACTCTGAGAACTAATAAAAGTGGAAAACAGGCCTGGAGTGAGTTTCTCCCCCACACCCCCCTTTCTCTCAGCTTGGCAGGGGCTGCTCAGGCTCAGGATGTTGTTTGTTGATTCAGGCTCAGCCAGGCTCCAGCAAGAAAACAGTATCAAGAGAATTTCATTTTCATGAACAGATGCCTCATGGACTCCCCCATGTCCAGCAGGTGATGTCCTGTCTCCTCCAAGATGCCGCCATGAGTGCCCCCTGATGACCAAAGGAGGTACTGCAGAGGCAAAGCAAAGTGCTCCGGTGGGGATGGTGACTTGAGTTCAAGTTTGGCTGTCACTATTTGCTGTGTGACATTGGGCAAATTATGGGTCATCTCTGGGCCTTGATAAAGTAGGACGCTAGCCTGGATGAGCTAAAGTCTCTTCCGGTTGAAAAGTTGGACCCTCAGTGTCCTGAGACTTCTATTGCTTGCTGTCTGGCTCCCCACCCGGCCCTGTAGCCCTGTATTTGACCGCCATCCACAGCTCAGCTCACGAATGTTTGAACACATTTCATGAGTTCCTATTTCCTCCATCTCAGTTGGGCGGAAAAAGAGGGAATTGGGACTGGTAGGTGGGTGCTTTGGGTGCTAGTATTCTCCAGGCTTTGAGTACATCCCCTAATCATCCCACTTCCTGAAAACATTTAAGGAAAAAAGTACGTCAGCCAGGTATGGTAGTACATGCCTATAGTTTCAGCTGCTTGGGAGGCTGAGGTGAGAGGATTACTTGAGCTCAAGAGCTTGAAGTCAGCCTGTCCAACACAGTGAGATCCCATCTCTTAAAGATAAGTAAATATTTACATATTTATGTATAGGGTTACATAATTATTTTAAGACAGTTATCCTTGGCTACAAGGACCAATAACAAGGGTGACCCCAGTAGAGGTTGTACAGGTAGTTGCTGGGAAGACGTCCTCACAGAAGTGTTTTGTGTAAGGTTGTGATGGCCTTTGTGCAAGGTTGCGGTTTTTGGAGTCTTTTATGATAGTTTTCATCAGATATTTAGGCATGAGAACCCTCTCCTTATGGACTTCCTGAGAACCCCTAAGAATAAACTAGCTGAAGGGCTTCAGCATCCAGGGCTCCATAACCCAGAAAGGAGCCAAAGCGGTACATCCAAGCTCCAGGTACCCGACCCTCCTCCCAGGGCTTGTCGGTGCTGCCCTAGCGCTCCCCGTCCATCTGGCTGATAAAACTTGGGACATGACCCAGTCCCCTCGATTGCTGCACCCAAAATACTAGCACCCAAAGCACTCGATTGCTGCCCAGAGATGGCAGACCCGGCTCGGGGATAGGGCAGAGGGCAGTAGAGGTCGCCAAGCTTTTCGGAAAGACCGACACGACCGTGGGGACAGGACCGATGGGGGCGCAGGGAGCTGATGCCCGCCTCCAAAGGGGTGTCCCTGCTCGAGGAAGCTCGGCTGCTCTCTCGGCAGGTGTGGGGAGCCTGGAGGTGCTTCTGCCTCGACGCCCCCCAACATGGGCGCCCTCCAACTCTGCGCTCCTAAAAGCCCCCGCAATTGCTCCTCGCGGTGCCCTCCTCACTCCCGCCCTGGCTTAGCGAAGTCGGCCACAGCAGGGAAGACCCACAGGGCGGAAACGGCCGCGCACGCGCGCCGATGAACTCAGCAAGAACCCCGCCCCGCTCCACCTTTCCCCGCCCCTTCCGCCGTTCGGGGGCGGGACTAGCGCGGCTTCCGCCGGGAGCCAAGAACCGAGTCCCGGAGCCGAGGTCGGGGCACCGTTGCCTTCTCCTGCTGCGACTCGCAGGCCCTCTCTGTCTCCCCAGTTTCGGTTTTAAAACCCAACTCCTACAGGATCCTGAGACCACACCCCATTTCCCACATCCCGCGCTAGAGGCAGATTATTGCAGAATCTGAGCCTAGAAAAGAAACTCATTTTCCAGCCCCGTCCGCCCTTGCCTAGCTAGGTGGAAGGTAAGGCGAGGTTCTCGCCGGGCTTTCCCGCCTCACCTTTCCGGCCCGTCTCCCGGGGGTCCTCCGCCCCGGCCATGGCCCAGAAGCCGAAGGTGGACCCCCACGTCGGGCGGCTGGGATACCTGCAGGCGCTGGTCACAGAATTCCAGGAGACGCAGAGCCAAGGTGGGAGCCACGGGGTGGGGGCCGGGGGACCGGGCAGAGTCCGGCCGCCGTCTCGGTCTCGGTCTCGGTCTCGGTCTCGGTCTCGGTCTCGGTCTCGGTCTTGGGCCTGGGCCCGGCTCCAGTGCCGCTTTCCCGTTGCAGACGCCAAGGAGCAGGTTCTCGCCAACCTTGCCAACTTCGCCTATGACCCCAGCAACTACCAGTATCTGCGGCAGCTGCAGGTCGTGGATTTATTCCTCGATTCACTGTCGGAGGAGAACGAGACCCTCGTGGAGTTTGCTATTGGTAAGGGTGGGTGGGCCTGTTCCCCAGATACCTGATGGGCTGTGGTGAAGAGTGAGTTAGAGGCGAGTCTTTGGAAAAGGAATGTCTTAGGGAGCCCCTTAGCTGCAAAGGCAGACCTTTGCGATGTCTGTGCCACCTCCTGCGTCCAGGTGTCCGAGTCGCAGCTAGTTTGAAAAAGCCTGGAGTTCACACCCAGAGCCGCTCTGTATGTCTGTCCTCCCTCCTGGAGATCATAATCTAAATGAGGGAGTGGGCTGAAGACACTTGAAGGGGGAAAAAGAAACATCTTTAACGTTTTAATATCAAGAAGGAGTAGAGATGACTTGGAATCTATAGCTTATGGCTCCTATAGATATGATCTTAAGACCTATTGAATTATTCACTGGACAGATACTTAATGGGCATGTACTGTATGAGCAAACTACTGTTCTAAATGCAGGGAAGAAGATGAACAAGTTAGGGAAAGGTCCTTGATCTCCAGCAGCTTACATTTTAGTACGGGGAGACAAGATAGTGAGCAAGTATAAAGATAATGCTTGGGGCCGGGCTCAGTGGCTCAGCCTAATCCCAGCACTTTGGGAGGCCGAGGCAAGTGGATTGCCTGAACCTTGAGTTCGAGACCAGCCCGGGCAACTTGGTGAGACCTCGTCTTTACAATAAATAAAAAAAAAAAATTAGCTGGGCACAGTAGCACGCGCCTGTAGTTCCGGCTACTTGGAAGGATGAGGCAGAAGGATTGCTAGAGCCCAACAGGTCGACGCTGGTGTGACAGTTAGCATGTCACTGCACTCCAGCCTGGGCAACAGAGTGAGACTCCAACTCAAA